ACTTAAATGTACGTGTCACCTGGCGGGCGGGTGGGTTGGGGAAGCAGAGAGTGGGCGAGAGTGACGGAGGCACCTGCTAGCCCTAAATCACGGGGGCCCTCCCTGGCCAGAGGTACAGCAGTGGCTCACAGGGGCTGGGGGGGGTCCCTCCCCACAGAAGTCCGTGAACGGCCTCTGCAGCTCAGGGAGTTAAGCGTGGGCCTCGGGAGCCCCCGAGGCATCGGTGCTACGTGGGGCAGCCTTCCTGCCGCGAGATCTGGGCTTCCCCTCTGCTCCCAGGAGCTGCACTTTGCTTTGGGCCGCGGAGGTGGCTGGTGGGTTGTGCTTTTGTATTCCTCTGCTGAGATTCTTACGCAGCTGAGAGGGCAGAGAGGCGTTTCTGCTGCAGCTGCGCTGCCTGGGGTGGCATATTTGGGGCAAGGGAAGTTGCTGTAGGGGGAAAGGGGGAAGACACAGAGGTGGGGGATGTGGTAAAGTCTAGTTTAGAGGCTGGACGGGAGTTCTAGCTCAGGCAGCAGTGGCTGTGGTGGGTGCGGTGTAACAGTGCAACTTCCCTCCTCCCGAATTCCTCGTAGGGTGCAGTGTCTGGGTCTGTGCAGGCCACCGACCGGCTAATGAAGGAGCTCAGGGATATTTACCGATCACCAAGTTTCAAGGGCGGTAAGTACTGCGGGGAGCTCAAGGGAGGGGGCTGCCGCTCTGCTGTTCACGCCAGGGTTTTCCTCCTCCTTCTGGGTGGCACCTAACGGGCCTTACGGCTGTCCCGCTCTGCTCAGCTGGGGAGAGGATCTCTGCTCTTTGGTGGTGGCTCTGTCAAGAGTGAGCGGAACTGCCTTTCTGTCTCTGCTCCCTGCCATTGCTGGGTGGGAGGATTATCGGCCTTGGAGGCTGATGCTGCTCCTACTCCTTTCCCAAGTCCTTGGGCTTGGGAAAGAGCAGTTGCAGGAAAACTGCTGCCCTCAGGACAGTCCTTCTGGCTAAGTGCTGCCTTTTTTGGGGGGCGGGAGTCTGTGCCAGGCTGAGATTGTGCTGCAGAGCCAAGGAGGCTTTGAAATCTGGGTGGTTCGGTCTCAACCCCCCCTCCTGTAGTGACACACCGCTTCTCTGCCTTGCAGGATACTATGCAGTTGAACTAGTGAACGACAGCCTATATGATTGGAACGTCAAACTCCTGAAGTAGGTGGCATAGCTGGGGATCGTGCAACTGTGGTGGATCTTGGTAGTGGGAGCAAAACGTCCCTGTGAGCCAGGGGGGAAGTGAGCAGGGCAGGGGAGCACCGGGCAGACCTTGGGTTAGCCTCTCTCGGGCAGCTTGCTTGCTGTCTCCACGTCAGAAAGGAGATGACATCTCCAGAGAAAGATGACGTAATCTGAGGGCTCTGCAAGTCTGTCTGCTGTTCCTAGAGTCCTGGAAGAGGTGCATCAGACAAAACCCCGAGCTTTCACACCCTCCAGACACCACTGCTGCCTTTTCCTTGGGCCAGGCAGTCTTTATTTTTAAGCTGGCAGCATGCAAAAAGGGTGTGATGGTCTTCTCTGCAAACCAGGAGCAGAATGCTGACAGCCCGTGGTGCTGTCGCTGCCCTCTGGGCGAGAACCTGAGGGCTCACGTGGCAGCCTGGTTGTGCAGGTACAGTAGCTCTGGGGTTCAGTGGCAGCGAGCACAGCTGACTTGAGGTGCACGACCTCGACTCTGACCCTCTGGGTTTTTCCTTCGGCAGGGTTGACGAGGATAGCGCTTTGCACAATGATCTCCAGATCCTCAAAGAGAAAGAAGGAACAGATTTCATCCTCCTAAACTTCTCCTTTAAAGTAAGGCTTCCCATACCTCCCCCTCCTCAAGATACGCCCGCCTCAGTGAATCGATGTTTCTCAATGGATTTGCTTCCTTTCTCTTGTTCCAGGACAACTTTCCTTTTGATCCACCGTTTGTAAGGGTCGTGTCCCCGGTGCTGTCAGGGGGGTAAGTAATTGTTTGCCTGTCTCTGCTCGCTGAGGTCCTCGGTGCCGCTTCCTGCAGCAGTTTTCATTAAGAGTTTATCCAGCGCTGCACAGTCCCGTAATCTCTCCGATAAGAGTTTGCAGTAGCTCTTCCCGGGAAGCGCGGACAGGGGCGGTGGATGTTTTTTGTGCATTTTTCCATCTGAGAAAACGGTTCATCCCTGGAGCAGCGGGTGGGTGAGGCTGTGTCCGTCTCTGACGTAACTTTTTCTTTCCTTTTTTTTTTTTTTTCTTCCTGATTTCTTCTCCAAGGTATGTTCTGGGTGGCGGTGCCATCTGCATGGAGCTACTTACAAAACAGGTGGGTACCAGC